GGGCTTACTACAGTACTGAACACCACTAAGCCCAAGCAGAGCACAGGGCCCCACTCTAACCAAGTGATTCTATCAACAATAACCAATGTCTTTTGGACAGCTTTCGTTTTGACAAATGAGGGATGGTACCGAGAGACTTCCTTCGATGCTTTACATGGTTACGCAGTCCTTAATGAGCTATGACTATTTTGCAGCCAGGTAAGAACTAGTCAATCAAAAAAAAATAAACTAGTCAACCAATCATATCTGTTCTTTCACATGATCCCAAACCTGTCATGGGATTAAAAAAGGAGGATGCCGTTGTTCTTTCCTTCTACAGAGGCTAGTTGTATTAATGTCACCCTGGCCCTCTTTCTTCAAAACTTTGAATAGTTAACCTTTTAAGTAGGCTTTCTACTTTTGCTGGACTTTTTATTTCAACTGCATGCTTGTTCCAGATCAGCAGCTAGAAGTTTTAAAGCGAGCGGGCCAGCATGCAGCCAGGCAACTAGCAGTTTGAGAAGGTCTGTAATGGCTGACCCCAAATGTCTCTCATGACAGGTTTATTTAAACTCAGAATGCCCCTTCACTAGCTGTTCCCATACCCACATTAAGAGGCCCCATATGCATATACTGTATATACAGGGATCCCAACCTGAAAGAAGCAATTTCAGGGAGGTGCCCTCTCCCCCCCCCCCCATCCGCGGAGGGAGGGTTAGGGGGGCTGGGAGGGAGCACCCCCCTGAAATGATGGCAGATAGCACAGGAAGCTATAGCTTCTTTGCTATCTGCAGGCTTTTTTTTTGAGCCGCTATCTAATAGCGGGAGACTCCCGGAGCGTCCGGGAGAGTTGGGATGTCTGTATATATCAAGTAGGAACTGTTATGATTCTCATAACTACTGTCACAGTTTTAACTGTAACTGGAGTGAGGCTATCAAAGTGGAAGTGTTACCTGTTTAGCCCTCTGTATACAATTTACTTATCTTTGTCATCACTTGTCACTTAGGGCCCATTGCGATTTATGCATTACCGCAGCAAGGTATCCCAAACCACTAGTACAACAGTGGAAAACACAACCACACTGCAGCATGCTACAACACGCATGCTACTGGCATTGCATTGCTATCTGCAATCTTATAGATACATTTAAAAAAAGGGTCAGGTGCAAAACATGTTCCATTAAAACATGTGTGTTAATACAATGCATAGCCTGATTGGGCCCTTAAGGTCAACCAAACAAAACTACTAACACCATTGCTGAGAAAAGAAGCAACAAGGTGGCAAAATCATAGTTGCCAAGCATTCCTCTTTATGCAGCATAATCACCCCATTTTGCATATCAGTGCAACAAAACTCTTAACCCAGAATATATTGCTTTAAAGCTGAAAAGGCCCAAGCAACCTCCACCATTCTACATCACCAGGCAAATGCAGAGGTTTTCCAGGGTACTGCTTAGAAGCTCCTATAAAGCTCCCAGGGGACAGAGTATACTATATTTGAAAGCACATTTTGAAGAAAGTTGTAGGAATCTTTCAAAGCAGAAAACATAGGCCACAACATTGCAAAATGGAATGCGTGCCCACCAAATAAGATGTTCAGTATTTAAAGATGTAAAGTGTTTTAGATTTTCTGTCCATCAAAATGATTAAAAGTTTTCAATATTACCCATCTTTAGCTTTGGAAATCCGATATTTTTGCTCAAGGTATTCATCACTAATATGAGATCCCAACAGCCTTGGCCTAACAAGGACTAAATGTTCATCCTGTATTGGCCTGAATATAGTTGTACTTGCCCTAAGTGCTGCCTCTAGAGACTCTTCTGTTAAGGTTGTATCCCAAGTGTCAGAGAACGTGTTATGTAGATCAAGACTGTCCTCTACTGGAGGTAAATCCTGCACCGGATCTGTCACATCATTTTCCATAACTCCTGTTACATTAGGAGCAGCTTTCCACCCTGGGGAACACACCATATAACTATTTTCTCCTGCTCTGGAAACTGGACTTTTTATAATAGTAATTTTAGGAGATTTCTTCTGCATAAATGAGAGCCTAGGCAAAAGTTGGCTAGCTAATTTTTTCGGTGAAGTTCTTGCAATGCCTTCATTAGGCTTTTCATAATTAGGTGAACTCTTTGATTTAGTGGGTATTGATTTATTTTCCAATGTTTGTGGTTTTGCTGTGACGGTATTAGTAGGGGTGTCATTCTGTTTTGTTTTTGCTGGAGGAGTTTTTTTGATCACTTTTGAGAGAGATATGGTGGAGGTACTCACAGGCCTGGCTACTTCAACATTCCCTAATGTCCTTGGCGCAGTAACACTCTGCTGTGAGTTTTTCGTACTTGACACAACATTCCTGCATTTCGCTGTTTGGGAACCAGTGTTTCCTGTTTGCTTTGGCCTCTGGAAAGTTATGCTTCCTGCAGATTTCTGTATTGATAATCCATATTTTTCTGCTGGTTTCTGCTTCAGTGAAAACTTGCTTCCCTTTGTTTTTGTCCTTTCAGCAGGGTATTGTTCTGCTTCTGGTTGGGGTGATAAATCATTTTTTGTAAGTCTTGCTTTTTGTGTGGCTGCAATCCCTATACATTTTGTCCTTGGCACCCATCCAGCTGGCTTTATTTTCGGTTTAGCAGTAGCTTCAGGGGGTCCTTGATGTGAGAGAGTACTGTCTCCAACCTTTGATTTGGGCGTAGGCAGGCCACTTACTGCTTTTCTGGGTGAAGGAATAATTGAAGCAGACTTTCCAACATATGATTTTTTGAGGGTCGAAGATGGTGACATTCCCATTGGAGATGGTCTTTTTGATTCATAATTATCGGTAACATTTGTCATATTTTTCACATGTACATCCTGAGTTACATCTAAGCATGCTGAAGAAATTGGTTTCACTGCACTTGTATGTGTTGTGGGGACATTCTTTGCAGTTAGTAGCCTTGAGGGGATAGTGTACCTCATCAGAAATGATTTCTGAGATGGAACACTACCTGAAGGAGTATTGGAAGTACCTGCATTCCCAACTGGTGTTGGTCTGTGTGACATGTCTTTCGCTGTCAGTGGAGATCCCGTGGAACTGATTCTGACGTCAGCCGAAATTCTGTTTTTCGTAACAGACTTTTGTCTCTGCAGTGATGAGTTTCCTGTTACATCCTGACGTCCTGTCAACTGTTTTTTCTTTGTTTGCTTGGAAGATGAAGGATTTGTTATAAGAGGGCCATCATTCTTTGTTATGTCTGACACTTCTGGAGGTGAACTCTTCCCACGGGGCAGCAATGGAGAAGCAGAATGTCCAATCGGGGGAGGTCGTGGAAAAGCTGCATGTCCTGCCCGTGAAAGTCTTGGTGATCCAGAATCTCCTACTGGATTTGGTCTTAGAGAAGCAGTTGAAAAAGTAACAGGTATAATGCTTTTTTTCTGGCTGGGTGGAAGATGAGCTTGATAGCCAGCTGGCACCTGTCTCGCTGGGGCAGATGTTCTCACTCTGGTAACAGTCGGTGATGCTGAAATCCCTACAGGTGCGGGTCTTGATGAAACTCCATCTCGTATCCATGCTGGAGTTGGTGAAGGCGTGTTCCTCATTTGGGCTGGCTTTACAGTTGAATTCCTCATCGGTGGTGATCTAAATGAAGCAGCCACTAATCAGGTTTAAATGCTAGTCAAACTATGCATCCACCCTGCTCATGCTGCAGCAGAATCTATCATCCATGCATGTAATGGTGGAGCAGGCTCTACAAAAACTGAAATATTACTGTATCAGATAAAATGAATCTGTGGATGTTGCTCCCTTGAAAGCAGGCATTGCTTGGCTGTAACTACTGCCTTTAATGAGTTATGTAAAGTCATTATTATAATTTCAGCAAGGTCAAGACTTCCTTCAATTGTTTGAATCCAGCTGTAAAGTAATCTCCACCCTTTCCTCAACCACTGGCTCCAGGAAACTATCTTAGACTTCCATGGTTGGCTCCATCTGTATACTTATCTGTAATAACCCAGTGTTCCCACTACTAAGATCTGAGCACACATATTAACCTCTTCCTAACCAGTTTATACACATATTTTTTTGTATTTATCGTCCTAACAATTATAATGGCTATTACATAAATAATACCAACAAACACTATGCACCATGTGATAGGCTTTACCTAACCAAAATGAGGCTCATATAACCAGTGGTCCTCCAGATGATGAAGAGCTAGAAGTACCAACATGTCCTGCCAACAAGCTATGCATTGCATGCAGGACTTTTTAGTTTTCTAGCCAGCAGAAGAGCTGTGTTGTTTAGGACTTCTGTAATTGTTGTTTTACTTACAATAAGTCTTAACAAGGATTTCACACAAAGAATATTTTAAAGAACCACCACTAGAATGCATCTGTTTCTACACCATAAAGGTAGTTCCTCTGGTGCTTTGATTTGCAATAATTTCATTTCATACTCATTATCTCATACTCATTTTAGAATCCCACACTTCTATTTAGACAGCCGCGGCATATATAGTCTCACTGTCTACCTAAATTTGTACCCACTGAGTTTTAATGATATATTTGCACATCATACAGATTTGAAGCAATAGTCTTCAGATGTTTAGAAAAGTGATCTATAAAGTGCCTGAAAGTTAAGGAAAAAAATATATGTTTTATACAGTTTCTTGATTTTTACTGATTAAATTATTTTAATTCTGTTATATTTAAACCTATTTGTATAAAGACATACCTAATAGAGGAACCTGTTTAAGATCTTAGCCTAATTAAAAAACTTTGCAATGTTTTTTTCCAAGGGTTTAACTGTATTTCCAAATAAAGATGAAGTGAGGTTTTTTTTTTTTTTTAAAGTAGCAATGAAATTAGCAAGTTTAATTGCTCTTATATTTGTCACTAGTTCATTAGATAGTTTGCAACTACATTTAGTAAATAGATTGTGCTTCAGACATGCATGCTAAAGATTCTTAGAGTACTGGAAAAAAAACTTTTAAGGTTTATGCATAATAACAACATATAAGGTAGGAGAGTTAACAAAATATACTTACTTCTTTCGCTCTTGTGTTGATGTTGTTTCTTGCTTAATCATGTCAGGGGAGTTTATATGTATTTGTGGGGCTTCAGTGTCTGGGGCACAGCTGACACAGCCAGTCCTGGAACCAAACCCAGAATAGATTTCATTGGATATAATTGTTAGTGTTTCCTGTGGAGAAGAAGGATTGGTTGAAAAGGAGGTGACTTCCTCTTCATTTCCAGCAAAGGAAGACAGACTCGATAACGGGGAACACTGTATAGTATCCGCTTCCATCTGAGTCTTGTGTTGCTGGTAAGAGGATCCAGGCTGTAGACTTTCTTTGTTCTGACGCATAGGCAGAGAAGGAATGGGATGAAATGGTTTCCCAGCCTCAGCGGATGTAGTCTTAGGAACCCCAGCCTCCAGCTCCACCCCTCCTGGCTTTGGCTCCATACATGAATTACAGTTCTCTGTATCTAAGTTGTTTCCCCTTGGAACAACTGTTTCCTGAAAAGAAGACCTTCTAGCGACATTTGAATAATTGTCTAAAGAAACAGGTGATTGAATGGCTGATATGCTTGCTGCTGTTGTAGCATTTGCATTGTATTTACTAAATACTGTCCTAGGTTTCGGCACTGGTTTGATAACCGACTCCGAATCACCTAATTTTTCATTGCTGGTATTTTTAATAATGTTATCATCATTTTGAGATATGTGGGAATATTCCTGGGAGTCAGTCTTCTCAATGTTCCGAAAAGTTGGTAATGAGTTTGATTCTCCAGAAATGTGACGCAGTCGACTCATGATTCTTTTTCTATGGCCAGTTGCTCCGACACCAATTTTCTGGAGAACATCATTGTCCACAGAAAGGATATCTTTGACTCTATGGTACCCATGCTGCCTAAAGCTGTTCTGGTACCTTTCAAGATGGATGGCAGAAAGCCAGTCTGCAATGTCCAGCTGTTCATTGTCAGGGGAAGTCATGGCTGATGTGGCCAGCAATCATCCGCTTACCAAAACAAGAGCCAGGAGACCATATTGCTGGTGGACAGCAGATGGATCTAAAATGCAAAAAAAAAATGATTTAGACACAATAATAAGCACAATAAATTACATAGTTACTCAGGTTGGAAAAAGACACAAGCCATCGAGTTCAAACCATTAGAGATAAGAAAAAAAGAAAAACCTAAAACAGAACGCTATGCCCACAGTTACCCACTGTTGATCCAGAGGAAGGCAAAAAAACACTATAAAGCATGGTTCAATTTTATTCCAATCAGAGGAAAAATAATTCCTTCCTGACTCCATAAGGCAATCGGATATTCCCTGGATCAACAATCTCTGGTGCTTAATATACATATAAGAACGTCAAGTAATATTCTGTGCAATTAGGAATACATCCAGATTTTTTTAAAGTTAAAAAGTGTACACAATGTTTGACCACATTTTTGTAAAGTGTATATTGTACAAAGTTTAAATAACCACAGACATATACAGTAGCCTAGGGAAGGGTTAAATATGGTATGCAGGATAGCTGTGTTTGCTATTGTGCCCCTTTAATATGCATGTACATATATACAAAAAGGTTGCATTTGACATGCAATTTTAAGGATAGCTACAAAGCTGTATTTACTAAATGAGCCATTGCCACACAAAACGGTAGTTGAGCACATCACACAAATGCGAGAGAGGATCACCAAGGTAATGCCTTTGGTGAAAGAGCATTTGCAGAAGCAGGGCAGGGTGTATAACCGGTCTGCTAAGGTCAGACAGTTCCAGATTGGGGACCGGGTGGCTGTCCTTATACCCACGGTAGAAAGTAAATTTCTGGCCAAATGGCAGGGTCCCTTCGAGGTGGTAGAAAAGGTTGGTGAGGTAAATTATAAAGTACATCAACCAGGGAAGAGGAAGCCTTATCAGATCTACCATGTAAACCTGTTAAAACACTGGCAAGACAGGGAGCAGGTAGTTGCTGTAGCCGAGGTTACATCAGGGCCCCATGCAGGAAAGAAACAAGTGCCAGTTGGACCCACCCTGTCAAAACATCAGACTCAGCAGGTGCAGGAATTTTTGCAGAGGAATAGAGACATTTTTTCAGAGTCGCCAGGCCTTATGCATGTAATTCAACATGATATCGTGACAGAGCTGCAAATAAAGGTGAGAGTAAGACCATACCGCATTCCTGAGGCCCACCGGAAAGCAGTGTCTGAGGAAATTCAGAGAATGCTAGAACTCAATGTCATTGAGGAATCGCAGAGTGAATGGTCAAGCCCGATTGTGCTGGTATCTAAGCCCAATGGAACTCTGCGATTCTGTAATGATTTCAGAAAACTCAATGATGCATCGAAGTTTGACGCATATCCAATGCCCCGGGTAGACAAGCTGATAGAAAGGTTGGGACCAGCCCGGTATATTACTACCTTAGATCTCACTAAAGGGTACTGGCAGATACCTTTGACTAAGGGGGCTAAGGAGAAAACGGCATTTTCCACACCGGGAGGTCACTTCCAATATAAGAGAATGCTGTTCGGATTACATTCTGCTCCGGCCACTCTTCAAAGGGCGATGGATAGGACACCCCGCCCTCATCAAAGATACACCTCTGTCTATCTAGATGACATAGTCATTTTTAGCACAGACAGGGAGTCACATCTTCCCCGGGTGCAGGCGGTGTTAGACTCCCTGAGATGGGCAGGATTTACGGTAAACCCTGAGAAATGTGCCATCGGGATGGAGGAGGCCATGGGGTACATTGTGGGTAGAGGTTTGGAGAAACCCCAAATGAACAAGGTAAAAGCCATCCAGGCTTGGCCCCGCCCCGTAACTAAGAAACAGGTCTGAGCCTTCCTGGGCATAGTCGGTTATTACCGACAGTTCATTCCCAACTTTGCCTCTATTACTGTTCCGCTGGCTGACTTGACAAAAGGTAGGAAGTCGGTCATGGTTCAGTGGCATGAAAAAGCTGAGACAGCTTTTCTGGAGCCGAAAGCGGCCTTGTGCCGAGATCCTGTGTTGGTTGCTCCGGATTTTTCCAAAGAGTTTGTTGTCCAGACTGATGCGTCTAGTGAAGGATTAGGAGCTGCTCTGCCTCAGGAAGTCAGTGGGGAGGAACACCCGGTGGTGTTTCTCAGTAGGAAGTTAACAGCTGCAGAGAAGAATTATGCAGTAGTAGAGAGAGAATGCTTGGCCATAAAGTGGGCTCTAGATTCTCTGCATGGTGGTCACCTTGTATTCAGAGCCTCCATCCCTGACTACAGCCAGTTCTGGTAATGAAAGAGTTAAACCACCAGTCAGAGGGTGTGTTAAAAAGGAACAGGAAGCCAGTCAGTCTGGCTGTGTGGAGTGTTTGGAACAGGACACATGGCTATGTGTGTTAAGCTGTGGAATACATTCTGCCGAGACACTGCTGGGGCACCTGCGTCCATACTGGAACCCTCTGTGAGCAGGCTGGGACTCTAACCCTGACGCTGGCACTCTAACCCAGAGGTGGGACTTAGTATACAGGCGCTAAGCCGAATCTTGTGTTTGCTGAATATAAGCCATTTAGTTTGACTGTTTGTGGAAATTAATAAAAGTTTATTTTCTGATAAAGCTGGCTACGGGTCATATCTGAAGAACGAAAGAGGTTCACAAGGTAGGACATAGCAAGGGGATTTTTTTTATTTGAGGAGGCACTGTTAATTTTTGAAGCACAGGACCCAAACGCAGAACGTTACATGAAGGTTGCAGCAGCCGTTGCAGCCCAGTGCTACCATGTGATCTATGACGAGAAAAAAAAGAGCTACTACCCTGACATCACTGTATTGTTTTTTCAAGAGGGTAAATATAATTGATTCCAGCAAGGAACCAGAACCTGTGCCATCAACGTCAGGCGTGAGTGAAATTGCAGCTTGCCCTCTGTCTCTTATTGCTGAAAATCCTTTAGCTCCACCGTCTCCTCTCCCTCCTCCAGTCAGTAACTCTTCTTGCCTGTTTACTCAATGCCAGCCCCTGTATGCCAGCTGTTGTACTGTACTTGATATTTTTGTGTTTGTTTTTTATGTATTATTTGTGTAAAAAGTATTCTAAACCTATCACAGTACAGTACTATAGAGCAAATTATGTTAGTTGGGTACCCCTGCTAACTTTTTTGGACTTACGAACAATTTGGACTTACGAGTGCGCTCTCGTGTGGAATATCTGTAGTGGAATTTGTAAGTAGGCCACTTACTGTATGAAAAAAAAGCTTTACATCACCCTTGCCCTGAATGCAGAGAATTGCCCAAACTGTATTACTGCTCATGTTTGATCTCACACTGTATGAATTAATGTCTTATTTTCCCCTGTACACAGAAATGTTACTTATGTGTAAACTGTATATGCATGTGCCTATATTTACTGTAGATGTAGAAAATATTTCTAGCTATTTGGAGCCAGGCATGATACTTTATTTGCAGTAAAGATACGCAATGATGTCTGCTAATTCTGTAAACAAATAGAAAATCAAAAGACTGTGTCCAGACGTCTTCAGGCTTACTCATTGTGGGCTGACATCCAGCGGGGGAGTGAAGGGAAGAAGAGGAGCCAGAATATCTTGTGTCTTCTCAGCCAGAGCATGAGAGAGGTCAGTATACCACAAGAACAGGTCCCAGAACAAAATTTAGGAAGCAGGAAAGCTGTGATTTTCTAAACAATTCTATTGCTTATCTGGAATCCACACTACCCCATGATCCTGCTTCTTCTAGGGCAAACTAGAGAAATTAGGTGCTATGTGACTTTAGCTGTTAGATATAAGCATTTACTTTACAGCTATCTGTTCACAGATATACAATTAGCTTTGAAGTGTGGTTAACCAATGGCATATGACACTGACATATGGTCTTACGGCTCATTACCTCCACAAGACGTGTCAACAAATGCAATATATCTTTTTTATGTAAGGTGCAGTACAATGAATAAATGCAATCATCTTGCAAAAAGAAAAACATTTGCATTTATTAAATTTTGCATAGGGGTCTGCAAAACATTACAACCACAATCGGTGAATCACAGGTGCAATTTATTTATTTCAGGTATTTATAAAGCGCTGACAATTTACGCAGCTTTTAGTTGCACAATCACATCAGTTCCTACCCTCAAGGAGCTTACAATCTAAGGCTCCTATCTCACATAGGAGGGCCAACTTAGAGAGGAGCCAATTGACCTACCGGCATGTCTTTGGAGTGTGGGAGGAAATCGGAGTACCCGGAGGAAACCCACGCAAGTAAATAAGGTATGGACCATTGGTTATCAAGCCAGGGGAAGTTTTCAATGGACCACAAGTGCGGTGACATCACCACACTTGTACTCTATTAAAGGAGATCTTTGAGGTGAGTGCTTTTCACTCACCTCATAGTTCTAGCCGACCTGTGACAATGAGACTGTCACAGGTCGGCTCAGTAGATCGGGAGGTGAGCGAACACATACCGGCGTTCGCTCACCTCTCGATCCTGTCACGGCTCTCTGCCGTGACAGGGGAGGGGCTGGATTCCCCCCTCCCCGCTCCGCCAGCGCTGACGGGGGAGGGGGCGGGTACAGCTGGCTCTGCCTCTAGATAGGCAGAGCCAGCTGTCAGTCACGCAGCTGGGCGGATCCCGGCATAATTGTCGGGATCCGCTTCAGCTGCGACGTCTCAGTATACCACGAGCAGCAGCTCGCGGTATACTGCGGCGTCTCAGTATACCGCGAGCTACAGTTCGCGGTATACTGAGCCTAGGGTGACGGGAGGACGCTAGTTTGTGTCCTCCCGTTACCCTAAGGAGAACTATGGGGAAAAGCCTTAACCGCATAGTTCTCCTTTAAGAACTACAAGTCACTCTGCTACGGTGACAGACAGATCTTCACTGACAGATCCTGAATGATGCGCTGAATTAAAAAATACACAGGAGCCTGCGGGGACCAGCACCCTGTGAGTTAGTGGGGTGACAGGTTTAGGGTGCTGCAGAACAGCGCCATGTTCCATATTAAACTCATATTTAGGGTACTAAAGGTGGAATAAGGCTTTAATAGGCTTTGATTGCACCCCAACGGACAGTGAGCTGCAGTGCACCTGCGCTATAGAAAACCTCAATGCAAAGATACAAATGCTCTTTTTGTTGCTGTATGCTGCACTTTTAAAAATAGAGCATGAACTGTTTGTGCATTGAGGTGTGTTCACAATCTATTCAAAATAAATGGGCCGCCTTACACTATGCACCTCATTGCTAGTAAATGCTTGTGTTAAAGCACACCACTTGTGGTATAAATAATTCTTCAAATAAACCTTTACATCCAAAATAACCCCTCACTGTGTAGGAGGCACCCTCCAGTTATTTTGTAAATTTGTCATGTTCTTGTTCCATGTCCCTATCCAAGATACTGCCCCTGAAAACATCCTGTATAAATCCCAAAAACACCCTAAGACTGATACTGGTAGGCATAACCCAGCCTCCTTGTTTCCCATGAGACGGGACTTAGGCTTGGAGATTGACTGCTCCAACAGCAGGATTAACTGATTAATCAAAAGAATTATCGGCTAACTAATCAACTATGAAAATATACGTTAGTTGCAGCCCTAAATAGCACATTTTTACTTGAGCCATTATAAGCCCCCATTGTGCCTTTGCTAATGGTCATACTGCATGGGGGGGGGGGTCACACATAATTACAACTCTACAGTTATGGGCATACTAGTGAAAATGCACAGTGTCTTAGGTTGTTATCTCTGTGGTTAGAAGTACTCAATGCTTCCTTTAGTTTATGGAAAAAATAGGTAAGTGGCATAGCTTTTTTTAACAATAAAGAACATGTCTTCCTCTTTGAAATGGTGGAGGCTATGATCAGGTTCTGGTGTAAAAACCATTAAAGTGACACTAAACTCAGAAGTTAACCCTTAAAAATCGATTTTACCTAACCTAACTATTTACACAAATGTATCTTATTTTTACATCACTTACTGTCCTTCCTTCTGGAGGTTGATTACTTTTGTTCCCCATGGTCACTGTGTGTTGTAAGGTAGCCAACGCCCCAAGCTCACTCCTGTGATAGACTATAACTTCAATATAAATTAGTCAAATAAATGTGAGATTGTAGCCCATCACGGGAGCGGGCTTGCGCCGGTGGCTACTTTACAACACATGCAGGGACCATGGAGAGCAAAAGTAGCCACCATTCAGAAGAAAGGACAGTGTCAGCACCAATTCAGAGATGATTTGAAGATCTACAGCTGAGTAATGCACAAATAAGATACATGTTTGTTAATGGTTAAGGTACTGGAATGCATTTTTAAGATATAATTACTGTGTTTAGTGTCACTTTAGGCCCCCACGTTCCTAATTGTTTTAGTAATACAGAATACTTTATGATTTCATAGCAATTATATAGGAACTTTTAAATTGTATATACATTCAACTTATCCAAATGTATTAGCCAAATGCTATTGCCACCTGCATAATTCACTAAGGAGTCAGACAGCTCTGGACCCTGTGTTAATCATATGGTCTTGTTGAATTTCAGTATCTCATAATCCGTTCTCTCTATAATTAAAGCTGAACTACAGACCCAAATATTTTGATTTAAATATATTTCTTAATAGCACCAAAAACATAAATCCACTTTGTGTGCACTAAATACTTTAAAAATCCCAGTTGTTACCTTGTAAACGTAGCGGTGACATAATCACTGTGCTGTACTTAGCTTGTGCAGAGAGCAGAGCTGTGGGAGAGACCCAGCAGGCCCTGCCCACTACAGTCTGCCTGTAGAAAACTATAGAAGGGGGTGGAAACAAGAGCAGTCACTCTGCACAAGGAGAGAGCAGCAGCAGTGACTGGTCTTTATTACAGGAAGCTCCTGCACAGAGGCAAAGTGTTTACACCAAATAACCGCACATATCTAGAAGAAATGCACAAAATACACCATGATTTAAGTAAGAATACACATGTCTCTTGAATCTACAATATATGCTCATCACACAGTTTAGCTTTACAGTGACCCTTACACCAACTTACAGAAAAACACTGAAACATTATGTATTTTAAATGTTTACTTGCAGTGTTCTTCATTAACAGGGTAATTCACTAAGCTGCCAAAGGCAGCCGAGTGAATAACCCAGCCGAAGTGAAGTGAGCCGAATGCTGTTCGGCTATTCACTGCTGGCTTGTATGGCTGACTTCAGCCGTACATTGGCTGAAATCAGCCGTACATCGGCTCTGTGCGGCTGCCTTCGGTCAGCTGAACATGCTCTGCACTTCGGCTCCAACATCTGGATCGGCTGAGCCGAAGCTCCGGCAGCTCACTCGCTGCCGTTCACCCTTATTCTCATAGGGGACGAACGGCAGTGATTGAATAGCTGAATGCAGCCGAGCAGCATTCGGCTCGACTGTTCTGCTCGGTACCTCCATGGTACTGAGCAGAGTAGAAAATCAGTGAAAATAGTCGGAAAAAAAAAGGTTGAAAAATGTTTTAAAAATGTAAATAAATAGTAAAATTAATAAATAAATATTTTTTAAAAAAGAAAAAAATAATAAGAACAAAAAAGACAGTTGGGCGGAGCTAGCAGTGACAGCTAGCGTCCGCCCAACTGTTTCCTATTGGTCGGGACCTGCTAGAGTCTTCTAGCAGGTCCCGGCCAATGAATAACAACTGGGCAGAGTCGGCCGTGACGTTGCAGTCGGCTCCGCCCAGTTGTTATTGTTTAATGACAGTTCAGCGTCCCCAGGTCATTTGGGGACACTGATCTGTCATTACAACTGGGCGAGCCAGGCATGAGATCACGGCTGGCTCCCTCCCAGCTGTCATTTGCGGAGTGAACGTCCGGCCTTCGGCAGGCCATTCGCCCCGCTTCGGCTGACATTCGGCTCAGTCGAGCCGAAGCATGTGCCTCCGGCACGGCTGAGCCGCTTGGCCGCCTTCGGCTGCTGTACAGGCTATAGTGAATAGCCCACACAGCAGCCCTTCGGTTCAAATGAACTGAAGGGCTCCGGCAGCGGAAGAAAGCCAAAGGATCAGCCGAAGCTACGGCTGGATCCTTCGGTTCCTTCCTGAATAACCCCCTAAAAGTTTTTTTTTTCACTTGTAATGTGCCTTTTAATGTGCTAGAACATTTGACTACTCCAGGGGAGTCAGTTCCATAGCTGACACTGTCCTTCCTTCTGGAGGGTGGCTACGTTGATTCCCCATGGCCCCTGTAGCCACCACTCCCAGCTCGCTCCTGTGATGGACTACAATCTCATGTTTAGTTAGCTAATTTATATTGAAGTTATAGTGTATCACAGGAGCAAGCTCGGAGCAGTGGCTACTTTACAACACACACAAGGACCATGGGGTCAGCACCAATTCAGAGAGGATTTGAGGATCTACAGCCAAGAGATACACAAAAAAGATACATTTTTGTTAATAGTTAAGGTACTTGAATACATTTTTAAGATTTAATTCCTGACTTTCACTTTAGTTTCTTTATTGTCAAAAACTGATATAGCTTCTACCTCTTCTTGTCTTACTGAAACCACTTCTCTAATCCTAGCAG